GTATGTATATGTATTTTGTATAAATGATACTGATATATCTTTATTACAGACCTATATACCAAAGAATATATACTGTTTTCCTGTTCATACTGTAAAGTGGAGATTTTTGATAAATGTTTTCCGTTTTAGTTTGTAATGGCTGAGGCAGAAGCAACCACAGAGCTTACCACCGCAGGAGCTGAGGCTGCGGTACCACAGAGCAAGAAGCGCAGGGCCTCAGAGAATGGTATCGCTGTGCCTGAACTCAAGAATGGGCTGTCTGAGAAAACCAAAATCATTGATGAGAGCTATTTTGCGTAAGTGTGTTTCCTTTTCCTTTGCTTCCAGTATTTGGTTGAAAGTACTGAAGTATTTTGTGTTAGCTAATCTACTTGAGGCTATGGTATTTCAGGGGTACAGAAGGATTGGTTCTCCATAGATACCCTCTAATGTATAGTAATGTTTAACAAGTAGCTGGTTCTTTCAGGTGTGAAGCAGATCAACCATTTAGGCCTGTTATATGTATGATGTCTTTTGTTAGTGGCATAATGTGTGATACAGTCTCTCTCTCTCTCTCTCTCTCTCTCTCTCTCTCTCTCTCTCTCTCTCTCTCTCTCTCTCTCTCTCTCTCTCTCTCTCTCTCTCTCTCTCTCTCCTCTCTCTCTCTCCTCTCTCTCTCTCTTCTCTCTCTCTCTCTCTCTCTCTCTCTCTCTCTCTCTCTCTCTCTCTCTCTCTCTCCTCCTCTCTCTCTCTCTTTCTGTCTCTCTCTCTGTCTCTCTCTCTCTCTCTGTCTCTCCTCTCTGTCTCTCTCTCTGTCTCTCTCTCTCTTCTCTCTCTCTCTCTCTCTCTCTCTCTCTCTTCCTCTCTCTCCTTCTCTCTCTCTCTCTCTCTCTCTCTCTCTCTCTCTCTCTCTCTCTCTCTCTCTTCTCTCTCTCTCTCTCTCTCTCTCTCCTCTCTCTCTCTCTCTCTCTCTCTCTCTCTCTCTCTCTCTCTTCTCTCCTCTCTCTCTCTCTCTCTCTCTCTCTTTCTTTCTCTCCTCTTCTCTTTCTTCCTTTCTCTCTCTCTCTCTCTCTTTCTTCTCTTCTCTCTCTCTCTCTCTTCTCTCTCTCTCTCCTCTCCTCCTGCTCTCTCTCTCTCTCTCTCTCTCTCTCTCTTCTCTCTCTCTCTCTCTCTCTTCTCTCTCTCTGTTCTCTCTCTCTCTCTCTCTTCTTTCTTCTCTCCTCCTCTCTTCCTCTCTTCTTCTCTCTGCTCTTTCTTCTCTCTCTCTTTCTCTCTCTCTTTTCGTCTCTCTCTCTCTCTCTTTCTGTCTCCTCTCTCTCTCTCTCTCTCTCTTCTGTCTCTCTCTCTCTCTCTCTCTTTCTCTCTCTCTCTCTCTCTCTCTCTCTCTCTCTCTCTCTCTCTCTCTCTCCTCTCTCTCTCTCTCTCTCTCTCTCTCTTCTCTCTCTCTCTCTCTTTTCTCTCTTCTGTCCTCTTCTCTCTCTCTCTCTCTTCTCTCTTCTCTCTCTCTCCTCCTCTCTCTCTCCTCTCTCTCTCTCTTCTCTCTCTCTCTCTCTCTCTCTTCTCTCTCTTTCTGTCTCCTCTCTCTCTTATCTGTCTCTCTCCTCTCTTTCTGTCTCTCTCTCTCTTTCTGTCTCTCCTCTTTCTAGTCTCTCCATCTCTCTGTCTCTTTCTCTCTTTCTGCTCTCTCTCTCTCTTTCTGTCTCTCTCTCTTTTCTGTCTCTCTCTCTCTTTCTGTCTCTCTCTCTCTTTCTGCTCTCTCTCTTCTTTCTTGTCTCCTCTCTCTCTCGTCCTCTCTCTCTCTTTCTGTCTCTCTCTCTCTTCTGTCTTCTCCTCTCTTTCTGTCTCTCTCATCTCTTTCTGGCTCTCTCTCTCTTTCTCTCTCTCTTCCCCTCCCTTTTTTTCTCTTCTTTCCTCTTTTTTTTTTCTTCCCTCTTACTCCCTTTTTTCTTCTCTCTCTCTCTTCTCTCTTCTCTCTCTCTCTTCTCTCTCTCTCTCTCTTCTCTCTCTCTCCTCTTTTTTTTTCTTCCTCTTTTTCCCCTTTTTTTTTTCTTCTCTCTCTCTTTCTCTTCTCTCTCTCCTTTCTCTCTCTCCTCTCTTTCTCTCTCTCTCTTTCTTCTCTCTCTCTCTTTTCTCTCTCTCCTCTTTCTCTCTCTCTCTTTCTCTCTCCTCTTCTCTTTCTCCTCTCTCTTTTCTCTCTCTCTCTCCTTTCTCTCTCTCTCTCTTTCTCTCTCTCTCTTTCTGTCTCTCTCTCTTTCTGTCTTCTCTCCTCTTTCTGTCTCTCTCTCTTTTCTCTCTCTCTCTCTTTCCTCTCTCTTTCTCTCTCTCTCTCTTTCTCTCTCTCTCTCTCTCCTCTCTTTCTCTCTCCTCTCTCTCTCTCTCTCTCTCTCTCTCTCTCTCTTCTCTCTCTCTCTCTCTCTCTCTCTCTCTCTCCTCCTCTCTTTCTCTTTCTCTCTCTTCTCTCTCTCTCTCTCCTCTCTCTCTCCTCTCTCTCTCTCTCTCTCTCTCTCTCTCTCTCTCTCTCTCTCGTCTCTCTCTCTCTCTCCTTTCTCTCTCTCTCTCTCTCTTCTCTGTCTCTCTCTCTCTCTCTCTTCTGTCTCTCTCTCTCTCTCTTTCTCTCGTCTCTCTCTCTCTCTCTCTCTCATTCTGTCTCTCTCTCTCTCTCTCTTCTCTTCTCTCTCTCTCTCTCTCTCTCTCTCTCTCTCTCTCTCTCTCTCTCTCTCTCTCTCTCTCTCTCTCTCTTCTCTCTCTCTCTCTCCTTCTCTTCTCTCTCTCTCTCTCTCTCTCTCTCTCTCTCCCCCCTCCCCCTCCCCCCCTCCCTCCTCTCCCCTCCTATCGGTGTAATTTGGCCAGTGTAGACAAGGATTGTTTGGTTAGGGTCTCAAATATATGCATAGAGCATTAGGGGACTGAGAAAATGAGAGAAATGGACAGACATAGTGAATGGGATGAAAAAAGAGAGGTGCTACTTTTTGTATCTGCTTTTCTTTCAGGTCGTATTCTGACATAGAGTTGCATCGAACCATGATAGAGGACACGGTGCGCACTAATGCTTACCAGCAGGCCATTTTCCAAAATATGGAGGAGAATATTCGAGGCAAAGTTGTTGTAGATGTTGGATGCGGTACAGGGATCTTAAGCATGTTCTGTGCTCAGGCAGGAGCCAAAAAAGTCTATGCCATAGATGCTTCAAAAATTGCAGTGCATGCAAAACAGCTGATAGAAGCCAATGGCTTTAAAGATGTGATTACGGGTAAGTAAGAATCAGTTGACCTGCAACTAAAATATGTATATTGTTAGCCATACATGACTAACATACTTGAGTCATGCCTATCATATTTGTAATGCGTATCTTTGGAGTCGAGCATATTTTCAGATATTCAAATGTGTTTGTTTTGTCTTTTCCTGTTGTTTGCAACTAGAGGAATGAGAGACCCTTATCCGATGCATTCCTTAGGGACTAATTTTACACCAGATGCCTAACAACAACACACCTTCCCTTCGGGTTCTTTTGCAGTTCTCCAGGGTAAAGCAGAGGAAGTTGAACTGCCTGAGAAAGTGGATGTCATTGTGAGTGAATGGATGGGGTACATGATGCTGTATGAGACCATGTTGCCATCTGTCCTCTATGTCAGAGACAAGTGGTTAAAGCCTGTAAGTATTGTCATAAAATTCCTTGTTATCTGTTTGTCTCTTCACTGATGTCTTTTTTTTTTTATGAGACTGAGAAGTACAGTTATTGATATTTGTGATAATGCGTGGTTGATTGTGTGAATTAGTTATGAGCATGGGTGGGATATAGTTGTTGCTAACAGGGTGGAGTACTCATTATGTGTATCACCATGTTTTTGCAGGGCGGTAAAATGTACCCAGAGCGTGCTGTGCTGTACATGGCCTTGGGAGAAGCTCAGTGGATCACAACCTATGAGGAAGGAACCTATGACTTCTGGGTTTCCCTCAATCATGTGTACAATTTGGACATGTCTCTCTTGGCAGATCATGCTGTTGCCAGATACAAAGGTACATTTTTTTTTACCATGTATTGAATTATTAGTTTGGATTTTCGTTTTAGCAATTTTCTTTTAGTCTTGCTTGAGATAGTCCATGTTAAGGATATTAGCATTACACTGTTTTGATTTTATTTTTGTGTGATATTGTATTCACTCCCCAGTTAATGATTCTGTGCAATGATAATTTTGAACAGTGAATTGTATAGTTGTACAATCCTTCTTTGCAGATGTTGTTCATGTTCACATGGTAGCTCAAGAAGATGTGCTTAGTTTCCCAACTCCTGTCTGTGACTTGGATCTGAACACTGTCAAGGCAGAAGACCTGCGGAACATTTCGCACTCTTTCAACTTGGCCAGCATTGGCTCTGGGCGACTGAACAGTATGGTCATGTGGTTCGACGTTTGGTTCCCTGGTGGAATGAAACTCTCAACCTCACCTGACAATGAAGATACGCACTGGCAGAACACTGTGCTGCCACTGGCCACAGTTCCCCTTGAGCAAGATAACCAGGTCAAGGGGGAGCTCCACATCACGCAGGATCTAACCAACCATCGCTTCCTAAACGTGGATCTCAAATACTCGGTGAACAGCGGTGAAGAGATAACAAGATGTTTCAAGATGGATGATAACTGCAATGACAATGACTTCTGAGTTGGGTTCATCTTCCTCACCATCTCTAGTCTATCAGGCAAACGAGAAACCAAGCCGGATTGGGGATAAAGTCCCAGTTGGAGTTTGAGTGAAAAGCAGTCCATAACAGACTAGCAGCCAACTAATGATTTATTTTTAGATCTCTCTTCCAAAGACTGCCTCACTACTTAAAAGTTCTGTGATCCTTGCCTTTGTTGATAAAAGCAAGCTTACTTCTGTGGAGGTCTTTCACTTTGGGTACAAGAATTTTCCTGCAAGGAAGATTTGAATCTCGGTAGAGGACCAAGACTTTCTCTGTGATAAA